TACAGAGTGTTGTGTGGGATGTGCTGTAGAATGAGATTGGCCTCCTCATGTCAGCTTTCTCTTTCTAGCTTCCAGTCTTTGGGGAGTTCTTTTGGAACCTCTGATGAACGCAGCCTGCCCTCCCCTGGGCCTCAGGATCCAAGCAGCAGACAGGTGAGGAGACAGAAGAGTCTGCACTGTTAGTGCTGTGAGATTGGCTGGGAGGTCGCAATCCCAAGGAAGGCTGCCCATCGGAATTATGGGACCTAGGGGAAAGTGTGATGTTGGGGGCCCTGCCACTGCCCCTTTAAAGGACCCAGACAGGTGTGTACAAAGCTGGAGGGCCATGTGCAAGAATTCTGATACTCACAGACTAAGACTTATGGTAAGCAGTGGGGCAGGGGTATGCACGGGAGCTGATGCGGGGGCTCCCCATCTTTTGTGAGGATTTGGGGCTAATTCACCCAGATGTGGAGCTGCGGTGGCTCAAGTGGTTAAGACGCTGAACTGCAGGCTGTGGAAGGTCGGTAGTTGTGCAGTTCGAGACCCGGGTGCCGCATGATGGAGTGAGCTCCCGTCTCTGGTCCCAGCTCCTGCCAACCTAGCAGTTCGAAAGCAAGAAATTGCAAGTAGATGAATAGGTACCACTTCAGTGGGAAGGTAACAGCGTTCCGTGCGCCTTGGTGTTTAGTCATGCCGGCCACATGACCACGGAAACATCTTCGGACAGCGCTGGCTCTTCGGCTTTGAAACGGAGATGAGCACCGCAAGAGTTGGATTCGACTGGCTTTCGAGCAAGGGAACCTTTACCTTTACCTTTACACTCAGATGTATCCCCCCTTCCCACTGGGCATCTGTGTACCTGGGGTTCCTTCAGGTCACTGTGCAGTCCTTTGGATAGTATTTGTACACTAGTACCAGTGTGAGTCCTGACCTGGACAGCCCAGGCTAGCCCCATCTCGTCAGATCTCAGAAGCTAAGCAGGGTTGGTCCTTGCTAGTATTTGGATGAGAGACCACCCAAAAATGCCAGGGTCATGCCGCGGAGGCAGGCAATAGCAAACCACCTCTGAACGTCTCGTGCCTTTGAAAACCCTAGAGGGTCGCCATAAGTCAGCTGCTGCTTGATGGCAAAAAACCCACAAAAAAGTGTTGTTTGTGTGATGCATCAAGCAATTCGTTTGGGAAAAGTGGCATATAGATAATTGGGGGGGCATAACCCCCCGTCTCCAAGAGCTTACAAGCTTGACAAACAGAGGAAGAAGAGAGGAAGGTGAGGAGATGCAAATGTGAGCAAATCTTCCTGGTTTGGACTTCTGTCCTTTTAGCGCCGTGGGAAAAGCACTTCAGCGGGTGAAGCTGTCGCCATCCTTGAATCTTCGTGTCTAAGAGAGCTTCACCTTCTGTTTTCTCACCGTGCACCTATTAAAGGTTTCCCTGAAGAGAGCCAGGGAGATCCAACTGCATTCTCCTATACTTCACCTTATGCTTGGAGCCAGCGTGATGTGGTGGTTGGACTAGGAGCTGGGAGATGCTGGTTCGAATCCCCACTCTGCCATCACTCCTTCTGTCAGCCTAACCTACCCCATAGGGTGGTGGAAGAGGGGAGAAAGTTATTGTATTTGCATTTGGGGAGAAAAGCAGAGTATAAATACTGATTCTCCCACTCACCCACCCCCCGGTTCTCTCCCTGTGCTTGGCATGGGAAACGTTTTCCTTGAAAGCGCATTCTGTAGTTCCTGCCTTGTCTGCTTCCCTCCTGGCCAAGGGTTTAAGCCCCTTGCTTTGCTGCTGTGACCTTGCTGCACTCTTGCACGTGTCCCTGCAGGCAGCAGCACACCTGGCTTGGGGATGTTTGCTTGTTTCTACCTGGTGTCTCCAAGCAACAGCTGGGAAGGCAGAACCAGTTTGGGGAGGTGCTGCCCGCATCCCTTGGACACAGGAGGCAGAGGAGGCCTCCCAAAAGCTCCTCTTGCCTCTCCTTGCTCTTGAGGCCTATTAAGCAGCTATTCACAGCAATCCCCCAGCCTGCCTTGGCCAGAGGGACCTGTTTGTGCCGCTAACAGGCTTCTTTGCGCATGGCTGCTGCTCTGCAGGATCCCTCGGTCCTGAGACTACTTTGCAGCGAGAGGCGAAGAAGTCGATCAACCAAGCCTTCCCTGTAATCTCAGCAACTGGGGTAAGGTTGCAGCTCTTCACAACTGCACAACGTTCTGGGTTCTGTTTCCTCTGATTTAGATTCGTATTGAATTTTTCCTTGCCGATTACACAGGAGCTTTTCACCGTTTCCCCCCCTACAGTTTCCATTTCTAAGTGTAGTTCTCAACCGCTTATTTCCAAAGGAAATGTGAGTCTGCACTCTGCTCAGCGGTTGGACATGAAGTGCCTCGCTTTTCAGTAAGGAAGGAGAGGGTCCGAAAAGCCTGTGGTGTGGAGGCCCAGGATCTATGGTTGAGGTAGCACCATGGGGCACAGGACACATGAAAAGGCCTTAGACTGAATCAGACCCTCGGTCCATTAAAGTCAGTATTGTCTACTTAGGCAGGCACAGCTCCCCAGGGTCTCAGGCAGAGGTCTTCCACATCACCTGCTGCAAGATCCTTTAACTGAAGATTCCAGGGGACTTTCTGCCTGCTGAGCAGATGCTTTGCTACTGAGCCACGGCCCCTCCCAAACGTGGAATGTGGCTTCCAATGCTGAAGCTGGTTAATCCCTACAGGTTCTGCATAGTTTCCCTTTAAAATAAGAAGGGCAAGGTTCTAGATCTTACGATAGAGAGAATTTAGAAAATGTGTGGGTAGTTCTGTGTTTTAAAGGCTTAGGAACTAGAAATATCAGGGTGGTCCCAAACTCTCAAAAGCATGTTCCCTAAGAACATTCCTCTGTATATTCCAGTTTCCTTTCATTCTTGCCCCTCTTACAAATGCAAATACTTTGACTTCCTTCCTTTTGATGAACCACAGTGCCAGGTTGTGCATTAGAACAAAGCATGCTGACCACCCTATTTGCATAATTTGAATTGCAGAATTTTGCCTTTCAAGTAGCAGAGTTGTTTGCTGATCTGTAGCCCACCCTGTTCTGAAGAGCTTGGGCAGGCAACAAATGCAAAATTGCGACAAAGCAAACAACCCTGCCTCCCTCTAGCGATAGAAATTCTTCTAATTCTTTGCCACTGAAGCCCATGTGGGTAGGTTTCAATACCTGTGAGTTGCTAAAGCCAGTTTGTAGTGGGAAGGAGTTCCATAATCAGAAGAAATGTGAGCCTCAAAGGGGGGGGAGGACTCTTGTGGCACCTTAGCCATATCTGATGTAGAGGTGAGAGTGTTCAGATGCTCTGGGAGCAGAATCCCCACCTATACGCATGCACCCCAGTGAGAAGCTCCTATGTGGAACCAGGTAACACACTCCCCAGCTGCTGGGCCTGCCTTTGTAGCTGGGTTCCCTGAGCTGGTCCTTCTGGAATGCCCACAGTCCTCCTGAGAAATTGGTTCCTCTCCTCCTATGGTCTTTGAGCCCCTTGTCTCCGTGCCCATGTGTCTTGGCATCCCCCTCTCCTGTTGCTCTTGGGCTGGTGCTGCTATTTGTTTGCTTGTTCTGGCTCCGGGGGCTGGCCTGCCTCTGTGTTTTTGCTACGTTCTGGGGCTGTTTTTCAAACCCAAATTGGGAAGCAAGGTTGGCCCCAGAGCACGGCGTTTGCCAGCTGGCACCTTGATCGCCCCAGCCCCGCAGCCCCTTGGCTTCTCGGTCATGTTTTTCTTTCCTTTCTCACATTTATTTGCTTTAGCTCTTGGCCTCCTCTGCTGGCCTCCTCCCCACCCAGTGGTTTCATCAGCGCTGGGGGCCGAGATTAAGTGCGGAGGGTGGGTTAGCTGAGACCTAGACCCGGTTGGTTCTCCCTTATCTTGTTTCCCCCAGAAAAATTCCTTAATTCCTTGAGCCAAGGCACAGAAACATCTTTAACAATTTCAGTTTCTTCATCCTCAGCCTTAAAGTTGTGTAATTCCTCAGTAGTTGTTACTTTTGTTTTCTTGATGTTCAACTATAATCCTGTTTTGGCATTAAGCTAACTGCCCTTATGGATACAGAATGGAACCTGAAGAACTTTGTTAGGTTTGGCGTCCAACCAGCCTTCTGCTGCTCCTTTAAAGTAAAGCTGCCTCCTGCTAGGTAGTCAGAACTGCTGTCTGAAAAGGCAGTAGGCCTGATTCATTCGGGCCAAACTCTGCCAGCTTCCCCTGGCCTGTCAGATTTTGCCTGGGAGGCAGGAGCAGAAGACTTCTGAAATCAAAAACTGGCAGCTCTAAACTTGATGAAGGTGCCTTGCTGGAGAGAGATTGTGTGTGTGTGGCGGTGGCGGCGATATTTAGCAGGTCTCCAACGGCTGGGAAAAATTGCTTCATTTAGCAAAAAAAAAAACACCCCAAAAACAAAACAGAATGCCATGAAGGCGTAAGTTGAGTGTCTGTGTGGGTTTAATCATCCAGTGGAGTTGGCAGAGTATGCCTGCAAGCTGGGTGGGCGCTCCAGAGCCAGGGGTTCGGTCTTTGCTTGGGAGACAACGGGGTGTTGTAAGGTCCAGCTAGGGAAACTCCTTTTGGGCCCAGCCTGGCTACCTAATGTCAGAAGGGGAAATTTACCCCTTATTCATTCTTAATGATGGAAAGGGGGGGGATGGAGATTGTGAACGGTGCTGATTAGTGGGTTTCTGTCAGGACCCCTGCACTCGGCCGCTCCCAGGCACATTTGCTTCTACTTAGGCAGGGGTTTCTCCTTTCTTCCCTCTCCAAGGCCTTTAAACAGGAGCAGATGCAATAGAGAAGAGGGAGTTGCTATTGGGCTGGCAGTGCTTGTGCCTTTCGAACAAACTACTTGGGGGTGGGGAAGAATAGGGTTGAACTGACACGTGGGTGTTGGGGTGGACAGCACTGAGTAGGTGGTAGTCCTTCTTCTGTCCAAGCACTGCTGGCTCACCATCTCAAGCGATGCTGGGTAAAGAGGGACCTCCTCCCACTCTCTGGTTTCTTCTGCATGAGCTTGGGGCAGGGTTCTCTTCAACTTGCCTGGGGCTCAGGTTGGGGTGGGAGGCAGTGGCGTCTTCCAGAAGATCTGGCTCCTCAGGGTAGTTTCAAAGATCAGTGCCACTGCTGGTAAGTAGGATTGCCAATTCCAGCTTGAAAAATTCCTGGAGATTTGGGAGTGGAGCCAGGGGACAGTGGAAATTGGGCAGGGGAAGAACCTCAGTAGCTATAACGTCACAGATTCTACCCTCCAAAGCAGCCATTTTGTCCAGGGGAGCTGACCTCTAGTCTGGAGATCAGTTGTAGTTTTGGGAGGTTTCCAGGCCCCACCTGGAGGTTGGCAGCATTACTGGTGAGAGAGATGGCAGATTAAATCTGACAGAGGTAGACAATATTTTTTCCACAGCAGTGTATTTCTCCCCCACCCCACCCCCCCGGCCACTGCCAATTCCACGGGGTGGTTTTGCCTCTAGTTTATTAAGCCAGGGAATGGGAGGAGTATAGACCTGACTCGGTACTGTATATTAGGGGTCTCCAACCTTTTTGAGCACCTTTGGAATTCTGGCACAACATGGTGGGTGCAGCCACAAAATGGCTACCAAAAATGGCTGCCACACAGGCCCATAGGGCCTGGCCCCCTAACGTTTCTTCCAGGGCCCCCATTCTGTGCCTTGGCTTCTCCTCCCCCTGAGCTTCACAGTAGCTACATGCCTGTCAGTGAAACAGGGCCTGCATAGGATTGGAGGTCCGATCTCACAAGGCCATCTCCTGGTCAAACTTAAGAGTGAGTTTTTCTTCAAAGTTCTGCAACCAGGGAGAGGTGGGTGACTCTCCCCATGTTTGCAGAAGGAATAGGTGATCCTACATGCTGGGGGAGGTGTGTGTGTGTGTTGCGACTGACAAGCGGCCTCACCAATGCTTGAGAAGACAAGGCACGGGATTCCAGCTGTGCACTCCACAGCTCTGAAGTACACTGGCTTGCAGTTAGTCGATCAGCCCCATCTGAACCACCACAGTCCAGGGCGGGGAGGAAAGAATGCGTGTAGCTCCATACAGACATATAATGGCTGGCCCCCTGAGCAAAAAATTGCCCCCCCCCCAGCAAAAAGTTGCTAGCTACGGGGCTGCTGCCACAGGAGGCAGAGCCAGCCATACAGTGACTGCTGCAGCATAACTTCAGTCACACAGTGGTGGCACCTGCTGCCAAAACAATATATTATAGAAATCTGCACAGCCAATCTGCCTTGCTGGGTCAAAGCCTCACCTTGCCCCGCCCACTTTCTAAAAACACTTGGCGGGTGCCAGAAAAGGAGTTGGCGGGTACCGTGGCTCTCACGGGCCCCGTGTTGGGGGGCCCTGCTGCGTATCTTGCAAATAAGGTGTGATGTTGGAATTCAGTGACTGGAGTGCCGCATTGTACAGCTAGGCCATACAAAACAGTTGCACAGACCTCCAATATGGATTGGGTCCACAGCACTGGGGAAGGTGGGGGGTAACTCCCCTACGCCACCATCTCCCTGACTGAAAAGACTCTCCCCCTGCGCAGCCCAGCTCAGGCAGGGGGAAAACAGTACTTGTTATGCCTGTTTTTCCTCTGCCCCCAATCTGGACTTAAAGGAGCAGGGATGAGGGGTGCTGTCTTCGGTGCTTTTTATTGCATGTTGATGACTCCACTTTGCTTTTAGTGCCTGTGATTTTATTGCTGGTTTGTACTGTGTGGTGCGCTGGCAAGACTCTTGGACTAGGATCTTGAAGAGTCCAGCTCAGATCCCTATTTTTCCATGGAAGTTTGCCGGGTTCCCTTGGGCCAATCACATAACTCTCAGTCTAACCTACCTCACAGGGTTGTTGTGAGGATAAAATGAAGCAGCGGAGAAAGATGTAAGCCATCACCCATAGCTCTTAGTCTTGTTGCTTTCCTCCCCACTGGGCTGTACCTAGTTGCCAGTAAGACAGAAAGAAGGAGATGTAAGCCATCACCCGTAGCTTGTTGCTTTCCTCCCCACTGGGCTATACCTAGTTGCCAGTAAGACAGAAAGAAGGAAATCTGAGTTTGGTTTCTCACCTTTCACCACCAACCAACTTGCATCCCTGTTAATCTGTGCCACTCTTCTCCATTAGCTGCTGGGAGACTTGAATAGACTTTAATAGAGATGGAATTATGAGCATGGGCTGCCCTCTAGTGGCTGGATTCTGCCCTGAATTCTGCAACCAAATATGCTGGTTGTGAAAGCACATCACACCTCTGGCAATCCGTGTGTCCACCTACAGGTTTTAGACCCTGGCTGCTAGAGCTCACAGTTGAGGCAAGGCAAGCGTGTGCAGACTCCCACTTGCATCCACAGGGAATAACCTCAGTATAGCATTAACCTGCTTAACTTTAGCCCAATTCAAGAGCCCATCTGTAGGCTGTGCTATCCCATAATCTGGGAAGATATTCATGGTGTTTTTTGATTTGGTGGCTGTTTTAAAAATACCTTCTGAAATTGTAGTGGCTTTTTGTGTCTGTGGCAATGTGCATTTTACTGTCCAAGCAAGTCACTGGGGTTGTGTGAGTTGCCATGGGGTACTGTGTCTGAGACAGAGGCAGGCGAGTCTGGGGCTCAGGCTGCTGTGTGCCACAGTTGCATAAAAGCATGGGGAAAGTGCAAAATGTAGAGCTGGAAGACATAAGTTGATTTCCAGATAATCTCTGTGCCGTTTTTTAAAAAATCAAGTGATGCTTGAGGCATGCTAAATTGTTGAAAGGAGCAAAGATTATGAATAAGCCTTCCAGTAGTTTTGAGCCAAAGCTTCAGTACCCTTCAGTGCTTCTTGACCCTCCTTTAGGAATAATCCCCTCCATGGCTATTTTTCTAAATCTATAAAATGTACAGAAATGTAACTTCTGTAGGGGTGGGGCACAAAACTTGTATTGCCTCAATAGACAATATTTGTTTTGTTTTCTAGCATGAAGTACACACAGCCGTGGCTATGTCTCCTATTCCAGGGGGGAAACACAGGCTGTGCGGCAACTCCCTGTTCTGTAGAACAGGCACTTAGAATACTGGATGGCCAACAAACGTCTCAGAGACTGAGTGAAGTTTACTGGGGTCAGTGAAAGTTACACACAGACAGTGTAGCTGGAAGAGTTTGCAGAATCAGGCTCTTGGGAGTGGGGGACAAGAGTTCACACGTCTGAACGCCATGCCCAGCAATGAGGCAAGCAGCTCAGTGTAAGTGTAGCATTTTCTGTCTGTCGTTTCCCACTACATAAAAGAGAGTGGTACTGTGTCTCTTTCCCAGGTTTGTACTTGTTCCTTTCCTGCAGAATCTTTCTTTACACCCTGTTTTGTTTTCCCCCTGTGCCTGCTGCTATAGCAGCGGAGGTCTTTCAGCACCTCCAGCGGGTCTCCCATTCCAGTCTTGTCTCCGCTGAACGGTTCTCCATCCCCAGGAGCATATTCACTCTGCAACCTTTGGGAACTGAAGAAGGAACAGGACAGGAGCTTCCCCTGCAACCACAGACGTTACAGGTAACCCGTGTAGCCAAGTGGCTGAGCAGGAGCACTTAAGCCCAGTCCAACCTTGAACATAAAGGGGCTGCGTACAAAATTAAAAGAGCCTCCCAGCTCTGTGAAGGGTGCTTTGAGCTCTTTGGAGGACTGAGTCATCGCAGTGACGTCCCCACCTCCTTTCTTGACACAGGGTAGGGCTGCCCAAACTTGTGCCTGACGTTGTGTGGCCTTTTAAAGCCATCTCTGTTGCCTTGAGGAACTGGGCAGGGCAAGGGTTAATCATTCAGAGCGGCTGCTGAGCTGAAGCCCGGAGGCCGGGCAGGTCTGGGCGTCATGTGTAGGGAGGGTGTTCCACCAGTGGGGGGGGGGGGGGGGGGGGGCCTCCCAGAGGAGGAGGAGGAAGAAAGTCATTCAGGTGAGAGGGTAGCGGGATTCGTCACGACTAGGCCTCCCAGAGGAGGAGGAGGAAGAAAGTCATTCAGGTGAGAGGGTAGCGGGATTCGTCACTGGAGGCCGATAACTTGGTCACTCTTAGAGGAGCTGCTTTAGCAGAAACCACCTGACGTGCTCCCTCCGTGCGCTTCCTGGAGGTCTGGCTCTCTTGAGACTTGGAAGGGACAGTGCTGTGAGAGAGGCCCTCTCACTTGGGTGGGTTTGTTTGGGATTCCAGTCCAGGGAGGTTGCAATCCGATAGCTTGGATTGTCTGCTTCAGCATCACGAATCCTGATAAGCGACTTTAATTTTTCTTTTTATGATTGGCTTCTTTACTCTGTGGTAGGACGGAGGGCCAAAAGAATTAGAGATCGATCGATCTGTCTGTCTGTCTGTCTGTCTATCTGTCTATCTAGTACTGCTCATCCAGCTATCGCCTTAAGCAGAAATTAGAACCAAGGAAAATATTTTAAAAGCTCTTACTCAGTATTATTTCTCTTCTATTTGATTATTGCGCCTATGAATTTTGCCACTGAGAGGGTGACATGATAGCAGCCATGACTCCTCACGGAAAATATGTTAAAAGCTCTTACTCAGTATTATTTCTCTTCTATTTGATTATTGCGCCTATGAATTTTGCCACTGAGAGGGTGACATGATAGTAGCCATGACTCCTGGGGAATTAGAGTTTTGTCATTAATAAAATGGAAAGGGGGGGAAACAAAGTTTCGCTGAGGTTGTGGCTGGGGAGGCCTTTATGTGTGGGTAATTGTCACTTTCTGAAATGGCCCTCCTCCGGGAGTAAGAGAAGCCACTTGTGGATGCCTTGCAAGCCTTAGATAGAAGGGGAGACATCTGTTCACTCGATTCTACCTGTCAAGTCCTCTGAAGTCTCACCTCTCATGTCAGTCCTCTGAAGTGTCTTTTCTAGAAGCACTTATACTGAGAGTCCCGGGGGGGGGGCTCAGCTCTCCCGGTCGCACCCCTCCTTTCAGGCTCTCCTGAAGGATGCTTGTGATGGAAGACTGGTTTGTCCTGTCCTCCTGGATACAAAAGTTACAGGTAGCCTCCCTTTCCCAATTCTCATTTCTTCTCTCTTTGTCTCTCCCCAGTCTGGATTCAGACCCAGCCATGCGTCGTTTGGAAGGGGACTCTGAAGTTTACAAGATGATGCAGGAAAACCGTGAAACCCGGGCCCAGCCACGGCAGTCGAGCACTTTCCGTTTGCTCCAAGTAGCCCTGGAGCAGGATGAAAAAGGTAAGAGAAATGAGTGGGAAGGGAGGCCGCAATTCAGTGGCGGAGCAGGGAGAGGGTCAGCATTGTGTACTGACTGACAGCTGCTCTCAAGGTGGAGGTTCTTCACAATACTTACTGCCTGATCCTTTTAACTGGAGAAGCCGGAGGCTGAACCAGGGAAGGGACCTTTTGCATGTGAAGCAGATGCTCTCCCACTGAGCCACAGCCCCTCCCCTGTAATGGAGCTGTCATTGTGCAATGCCGTTCTGGTGGTCTACCAACCCCACACTCTTCGACCATCAGCCCAGACAAGATTCCAAAGATGTGTTGCGGTAGTTGTCTTAGTGTGAGGCAAGGAAAGATCAAAGGAATATGGGCAGGGCTGCAAACGTTGATTAGCAGATTAAACAAATAAAGCTTTTAATTTAAAGCAAACTTTAATTGCTAGTTCTGTGAGTTAAGGAAATGTCTTGTTTACTTTTGGAGGCTAGCTTGATTTGTATACGTCTGTTATAATAGGGTTTTTTTTTAATGACTAAGTTTGCCTTGCCCATCAAACAATATGGGGAAGCCTACAATTTAATGTACCGAGGCTATCTTGCACTTCCTGCAATATCTTTGGAAAAGATCACCGTGGAGGAGTTTTGATAAGATGCATATTTGAACTCAATGTAATTGAACGTGATTCATCAGTGAAAGGCAAGATCATTAGGCGTGGTTGACTGACAGCCCTGCTCCTGTCTCCTAATGTGCTTTCTTTGTTACTTCTGGCAGAGGGCACCGTGAGTCACTACCCCAGCCAGCTGTCTCCCAGCACTCACAAGCCGGTCAGCAGTTCTGTAGCAGGCACCCAGAAGCTGCATGTGTGTGAGAAATGCGGCGGCAGCATCACGTGAGTGTCGCTGATCCTTGGTGAGGGAGTCTGCACTGGGAGGAAGCAGATGGGGACTGGAGAAAGGCCTCTCCTGAGAGTGATGCTCTGGCAGGATGGGGGCTGGCTCTGCTGTTCCCCAGGGCTGTAGGCGGCAAAGAAGGCTCTCCCCTTTTGTAGAAGAAAAAGCTGTAAGCAGCTGCGCTGGCCCATGCAAAATCCAGAACAAGAAACAAAACCCGTGTGTCATACCTTTTATTGTATGTGTGTTATGTGCTTTCAAGTCACTTCTGACTTACGGTAGCACTGTGAATTAATGACTTCCAAAATTTTCTATCATTAACAGCCTTGCTCAGGTCTTGGAAACTGAGGGCCCTTGTGTCTTCCTGGATTGAGTCAGTGCATCTCATGTTGGGTCTTCCTCTTTTCCTGCTGCCTTTAATGTTTCCGAGCATTATTGTCTCTTCCAGTGACTCTTGTCTTCTCATAATGTGACCAAAGTAGGATAGCCTCCGTTTAGTTGTTTTAGCTTTTAGGGGGAGTTCACACTTGATTTGATCTAGAACCCACTTGTTTGTCTTTTTGGTGGTGCACAGTGTCCATAAAAGTCTCCTCCAACACCGCATTTCAAATGAACCTTTTGTTAGGGCCAACCAAAATACCACAGAGCATTTTGTAAGCTCTTAATCAGGCCAGATGTTACAGAAGTTTAAAAAGCAAATTGTCCACGTCAAGATCTTAAGACCCTGCCTTGCCGATTTCTTTGGCATTCAAAAACTGTTTGAGTGCCATTCTGGTTTTACTAAACTCTGTTTTTTCAGAGGAGATGATGCTCCTTCGTTTGTTGCTTCTTGCCATAGTGCAAGTCCTGCAATCTAACACCTGCAGCAATTAAACTAGAGGCTGTGAGAATATCAGCATCTAACACCAAAGGCTGGCAAAACGAGGTCTTTGGCCTGTGAAATTTAGTTTTTTTCTTCCTTCATGTTTAAACTTTCAAAACATCTAGCCTGATTTATTTGTGTGGTTTTTTAAAAAATTAATTAAAACATTTATATCTTGCCTTTCCTCATGGTTCAAGGTGGCTTCTGGGGTGATGAAGAGTTCTGATGAGCTCGAAAGCTTGCACAATGTTTTTGTGGCATTTTAGTTGGCCTGAATAAAACATATTACACAGATTTCATCCCCTTTGTGCCTTCACCTTGCTAGTATGATAACCTATGTAGGAAGTAGGTTATGTATCGCCATCTGGTGGACAGATAGGAGATCTGCACTTTGGCATTTGGCAGGCCCACAACGTGCCATTGGCAATCTGTAATTAATTTCATGGTTGGTAAAACAGCAAGAGAGTCACAATGGAAAGAACACTAAATAACGGTTGTTTGGCGGGGGAAGAGATGGTTGCCACACAAACATGCAGTGGTGTGTGTTTAGTAGTAATCTACTGTTTATTTATGCAAGCACGTTGATTTTAATATTTCATTATTGTTTGCATTTGAATCCCCTTCCTTACTTTGGAGTTGTCCCATTATTCCTCACAACAACACTGAGCCTAGGTTAGTCTGAGAAAGGGTGACTGGGCCAAGGTTTTGTGCTAAGGATCTGAACCTGGGCCTCCCGGATCCAAACCTAAAACTCTGGGGCTGCTTCTACCCAGAGAAGCCTCGTTGTGTAGCTCTTGTTGCAACAGAATGTCCACACAACGGTTTTCTCACATTTTCTTTCAGTCAGCTCCCTGTGGTTGCTGTCCCCACTGCCACCACTGGAGGCCTTTTAAAAAAAATAGGCGATTGCTATAGCAGAAATTCTCAGGTTGAAAAAAATCCTCAGTTTTTATTTTTTTTAAAGTAAGTCTCTAGCCTCTTCGTTGCAGAGATACGACAGGCACTGGCAGAAGAGGCAGAAAGGGCCAGCCATCCCCATCCTCCTCCCCACGGCAGCCTCCTCCTGACTCTCACAGCTTTGAGTCCACAGAATAAACTTTCCCGGGGTCAGAAAGGTGCCCTGCCCTTAATAGGCGCTGCAAAGGGCGTGTGTCTGTGAAGTTAGTGTTTAAGTCACTGTGGCTTTTAGCACCAAGGTGGCTTCCACATGGGAAAGGTTCTCCATGTTGCTTTAATTGCCCGGTATGCGTGTCAGTGACAGAGCTCCCTCCCACACATGGGAATGTTCTACACACTTTCCTCTATCACTTTTCCCTTTGGTGCATGCTCTGCAGTAACTCTGTGTTGGCTCTCTGGGATCATGGCTGCTCTGGAGACTCACTACTCTCTTTTGTTGTTGTTCATACATGTGCTATAGCCATTCACAAGACTGTTATAGTGATTTAGTTTGGAAACCCAGATAGAGAAAAACCTCAACACGGAAGCAGCCTGTGATGATTTTTCTCTTAAATTAGTTCTCTTAAATGGCTAAAATGGCATGAGAGGTTTCTATACCTTTGCTGGGCACTGCCCACACATTTCCAAGATCTTTTCCACTTTCCTGAAAGACTGAGAGCCTTTTTTCTAAAATAATAAAGCCAAGCTTTGCCAGGGCATTAATATTTCTTTTCTTCACCAAGTACCGATCGCATTTCTGTGATGGACTCTAATTTCTCTCTGTCTGTGTCACATCTGTGTAGGCCTCCCATTTACCTGCCGAGTGTGGGGAATTACCTGCCCCCAGCCAGTGTTCCCTCTAAGCTGAGTTAGCGTGAGCTAGCTCACAGTTTTTGAGCCTCCGGCTCATGCATCTTTGTCTTCGCTCAGGAAGGATGGCTCCAGAGCAAGCTAATCTATGCAGGAGCCAAATGGCTTGCTCACAACTTGAATGCCAGCAGCTCACAAAGTAGAATATTTGCTCACAAGACTCCACATCTTAGAGGGAACATTGCCCCCAGCCCCTGAGGAATTGAGGAGCGGGGGGGGGATTGCTCCCATATATTGAGACTCTAGGAATTCCCCCTAGTTTCTGCGGTAAAGACCGTAGAGACTCTGGGAGGTGTCCCAAGAGTGATATCGCATCCTTCTCAGGCACGGCCCCCCCTAAATCTCCAGCATTTGCCAAGGTAGTCTGTGTCCCATTACACCGACCTTATATTTTGTTGTCTCTTGCAGAAACCAAGCAGTGAGGATCCAGGAGAACCGCTACCGCCATCCCTCCTGCTATACCTGCACTGATTGTGGCCTTAATCTGAAGATGCGTGGCCATTTCTGGGTGGGCGAAGAGATGTTCTGTGAGAAGCATGCTCGCCAGCGCTACCAGGGGCCAGGAGTGACCAGCCCTGCCACTGCAGTCTATTCCCAGTCCTAAAATGTATCCAAGCACACGAGCGCTTCCTCCAGAGGCTCCCTGGGTCTCTTCCAACAGGCTCTTCTCCTGCACCATCTCAGCCAATCGGGGGGCGGGGTGTCTCTTCCCCAGCCCCTTTCTGTGACGTGGTTAGTGCCTTCTGCCAGTGGAGATCCATCCAGGAAAGGGAGCTTCCAGTACAAAGCAGAAGGGCTCATGGATCTTGGGAATAGGGCTTGCATTTCACCAGTAGAAAATGAACTGTACCACTTGCTTTCAGTTGGCAGGTTCTTAGCCTGTCTCTTAGAAGGGCAGTTTCCGTGTAGCACCAGCATGTTCGTGTTTGGCATTTGGTGGCTTTGGAGGGATGGGAAACGACCAAGGTTCTGACACGTGCCCCTCTTGAGGATCCCTTAAGGGCCATGCTGTGGGATGCAGGGGGCCCTTGGCCGCATCACCACTCCTCTTTGCATGCCAGGGGTGAATTCCAGGTGTCTCTTGCCAGCTACACTCTCACCCACGCCGAAGGCAGTGTTGCTCCCTTTTGTGTCTCGAGCACCTCTTTGTCACCGCGGCTGCCAGCATCGTTGCATCCCTGTAGGAAATGGAGAAGTGAAGGGTGGGGGGAGTCCCTAAAGCACCCAGGTATGGGGCAGCTTTGAATATTGTCTCTGTAAAGCTTCTCTAAGATCTCTATGTAAAATGTAATATATATATATGTATATGTATAAATTACTTGCCCTGTGCCTTTGCTTTGTGAAAACAAAGAGCAGTAGAAACATTTTTTTTCAATCTTTTCTCATCACATTTTTGGGCTCCTAGGAGCACAGCTCTGTACCCTGCCAGTCAGGGGCACATGATGAGTTTTCTTGGCAGCCTGCGGGGGGAGTTCTTCGGAACGGTAAACGCCTTGAACATTCAGGGCGGGTCGGCTTCTGGATTCTTCCAGATATTTCTAGGGAGAGTGTGAGGAATTGTCAAAATTGCAGAAAGAGTGGAGGGGGCCCACTGTCCTTTCCAGGCCCAGTGGCCCCCGAATAAATGGGGCAGCGCTGTCACCTCTTTGGGTGGTGGGAGAACAGTCATCTTTTGAGGGAGGAGGTTGTGGTGATTCCCCTTCAGGTGCACAGTGAAGCGTGGCCCCAACAGGTGTGCATCCGGTTATAATACCCAGGCCTTGAGCTTCTGGGCTTTCACTTTACATGGCAGTGTGACCTGTGGGCTTAAGCTACTGCTGACCTTCATGCTGAGGATGAAATAAGATGTTATTTCACAGCAGCTCTCAGAAACTGGGTTTGAGGAAACTTGGACCACTACAGTTCTCTTGTGCCTGTGAACTCCTGTGTGCTTTTTCTCCATTGTAGCCTTGTGACAATTTGCTACATTCTCAGTGTGGGCCTGGGAATAGCTAGAACAATTACTGGCAGATGCTCCCCTGCAGTTCTGTATTGTGTTGCGTGTGTGCATTCTAATTGCACAAGTAGAACTAGATGCTATGCTGTCACAGGTTTCAAGTTCTGTCCTACAGCACTTCCTTCCTTCCTTGTGACACTTACACATCACTTATTTAATCGATCAGGGCTATTTTTTGTTGTTGTTGTTGGGGGATTCTGCAGTTACAGGCACATTTCGTGTTGGCGGAGTAATTAACACAGCAATGGTGCACAACCTGTTTAAAGTGTAAATAAAGGTTTATTTAGGAACTAACATACTTGATAGTAAAGAGGCGAGACAGAGATAGGGTCCTCGCGACATCTCTAGCTGAGAGAGAGGGTAAGACTGATTGTGGAACTTCCAAGAAGGGGGAAATTGCCCTGAGAGTAACAATCTGGAGACAGACAAGGAATGACACTTAAAAGGAGAGAAGGTGCTGACCTCATTATGGATTATAATTGTCTTCTTGCTGCCCCCTGCAGGGTCTTCTTGTCTTCTTCTTTGTACACCAGGCGTTGTCTGTTCCAACATTTTGCGCTGGTAACCAGGATACTTTGAAGATACGCAGATATAATGTGCACTTGTGGTAGCTCTTGTGCTAAGAAGCTCAAGATACTGCTCTCTTGAAAAACAGAGGGGGTGGAGCAAAATGCGAAAGTACAAAACGTAGGGGTGTAAATCAACTTATAGTGGCGTGAAGGAGTCAGGGGGCTGCCAACAAACTGCCAGATCCAAAAGAATCCTTTGCACCTTTCTGTTAAGTGGCCAGTGGATGGGAGGGCATCACACGCTCTTGAGTTTCAGCACGAAGCATCCTGCTGCCGACGTGCTCTGTGTGTGCGTATGTGTGTGTAGTGTTGTCAAGTGTTGGCAATGCCAGTGAGGGGTTTTCAAGGCAAGTGAGAAGCAGAGGTGGTTTGTCATTGCCTGCCTCTGCAGAGTCTTCCTTGGTGGTCTCCCTTCCAAATAGCAGCCCTGCTTAGTTTATGGGAGCAGGTGACACTGTGCTGCCTTCCCTCTGCAGACAGGCCACATCAGCTTAAAGAAATAACCCCGTGTATGAGGACATACTTTAAAATGACATATACATGAATGCTCTTTCCTCCCAATGATAGGAGCCTTGCTATGCTACATCAGAGTCCATGTTCTCCGGCAAACTGTTTTTAGCCAGATGCTCCTGGGAAGCCCCACTGGAAGGACCTCCTTCTTACACCGGAGAAGGTAGCCGATCAGGGTAAATGGGGTTGCTATCCCCAGCACCCTCCTGATTCCTCCTTAGTCCAGAGGGTGATCGTCTGTCAGTCCTTGCAGAACTTACCTTTGCAGGGCTCTGTACATACACCTCTTCCTGCAAAGACTCACCCGTATTGGCTTTTTTGTCTCCGTACAGGGGAAATGCAGGACGGTTCATGGGTGGGGTTAATTCATACCCATGAAGAAACATTGGAGGGACTCCTGGAAGGAAGCTGAGGAGAGGTTGACGGGCCTGGTCAGCGGACTTTGGTGCAATCCATTGGCCAGTCAGGCGTGCAGAACAGTGTCCCAGATGGGGACAGGGTCTGCTGCTCTTTTTCCTTTTGCTTGAGGAGCAGCTCCTGTCGGGAAGGACAAGAGTCCTTCTGTGACAAGGAGACACAGGTGAGAAGGGGAGAAATGTCGGCCTGGCTTTGTTCTTTGGAGCTGGGTGCTTTTGCTAGCTGCTGCTCATGCAGCCTCTGCTGCAATTTATTGTTGGTTTGTTAAAGTTGGGTCAGTCAGTGCATTCAATTGCATAGGGGCAACCTGCGTGTATAAAATGTGATTTGTTTTCACTTTTTATTTATTTGAATGTGATTTGTTTTCACTTTTTATTTATTTTGTAAATTTGTAGTAAACGATCCATCCCATGAACCCCAACTGGCACACCTGCCATTGCTCTTGAATGTACATGAATGTACAGGATGGACAAAAGGAAATACTTCTTTACACAGAGAGTGATTAACGTGTGGAATTCACTGCCAGAGGATGTAGCAATGGCCACAGGAACAAACAGCTTTATAAAGGGATTTGATTCCTGAAGGCTGTCTATCTGTGGCTACTAGCCATTGGTGACTGAGGGGAACCTCCGCATTCAGAGGCACTGGGCCTTTGAATCCCAGAGCCAGGAGGCAACCTCAGGAGAAGGCCTCGACCTCTATGCCCTGTTGTTGGCCCTTCGGAGGAACTGGTTGGCCACCGTGTGAGACAGGATGCTGGACTAGGTGGATTGCTGGTCTGATCCAGCAGGGCTCTTCTTATGTTCTTAAATGCAGTACAGGTGCCTAGCCAGCAGAGGGTGTCAGGTTCCCTTCAAGAGGCCAAAATACAACCCCGACCTGTTGGAGGTGTGTCTGTGGAAAGAAAGAGAAGCGACTGTACTAGACTATTACATCAACATTAGGGTTACCACCAGATGTCTTCTTTTTAGAGGGCATGTCCTCTATTTTTTTTGGTGGCCATCCTCTTTTGGGCTGTTTTTTAAAAAGCTGATGAGAAGGTCCTCTTTTTGGGTTGGCAGGTTAGTAATATTCCTTGTTGTTGTTCAGTCACACAATCGAGTCCGACACTTCACGACCCCATGGACAAGATCTCGCCAGGCCCTCCTGTTTTCCGCTGTCCTCTGAAGTATGAATGAGTATCGTGGCACTAACCGTGCTTGCATAACTGTGCTTGCATAAGCTTTTGTGACCTAGTGCTTCCTAGGCATGGATTTCTGTTGTCTCGTTTTGGGTTTGTGTGGCAGAGACAGAACTGCCCCTTTGCAAGCTGTAGAACTGCTCTGCTGTCCCCCCACCCACCCACCAGGTCTGTGGTGATATGCTAGTTTTTTCAGCCTAGTTCATGCAAGTGTTCAGTGTGCATACTGGAGATGTACTGAAGTGTACTGGAGATTCAGTCACGTCAACAATGCCCTTTTTGTGTTGTCTGTTACTGCATTCCCTTCCTTGAGGTTGCCAACCCCAGGTTGGGAAATCCCCAGAGATTTGCAGGTAGAACCTGGGGAGGGCGGGGCGGGGCGGGGTTTGTGGAGGGGAAGGAACTCAGAAGGGTATAATGCCGTAAAGTCCAGCTCTGAAGCTGCCATTTTCTCCAGGAAAACTGATCTCTGTTGTCTGGAGATCAGTTGTAATTCCAGGAGATCTCCAGGCCCCTGGAAGTGGACAAACCTACTCCCTGTGTGTATTGAGGCTGGTGTATATATAGACTTATAAATCATAGTGTACACCTAGAAGATGCTGGAGCCCTGGTCCAGTTATAGATATAATAAAGATATGCAATGTTGCCCCGGTTACTGTAACCACACGATGAATGGCAGTGCCAGAGTTCTGCTTTGGAATACGTGCTTTGCATGGAGAAGGTCCCACGTCCAGTCACTGCCATCTCTTGATACAAGATCTCTTGCTGACAGTAGGTCTGAGCTGGGCTGCAGTCTGAGACCTTGGAATGCCGTCACCAATTGGAGTGGACCGTGTGGGAATAGACGTCTTAAGAAGTGCATGCACAAATATATGTGTAACACACATACATTGCACATATAAATAAACTATATTTATATAGTATAATTACTTATTATATGCATAAAACATGCATACATAGCGCATGTACAAATATATGTGTAACACACATACATTGCACAGAAGAAAGTCGCTCCGTTGCTTCCAAATCCAGTCCATGTAAAATCATTCATTAAGGCCAAGCAGAATAACAGCATGCCTTGTGTGAACTTGAGTTCTCCAGCTTTGTATAGTTAGATGGTGGGGGAGGCGTCTTGCAGGCCAAGGCCTCTGTCTGCCATCTTCAATGGATGGAAACAGGGTGTGGCTAGCTAGTGTCAGACTGTGCCGCTGGCATGTTGGAAAGAAGCTGCAAGAACAGGAGTACTGGAATAGATGCATAATGGACTGACTCTGTATATAGGACAGTTTCATATGAACACATGGAGCTGCGGTGGCTCAAGTGGTTAAGACGCTGAACTGCAGGCTGCGGAAGGTCAGTAGTTCAGCAGTTCGAGACCTGAGTGTGCCGCATGATGGAGTGAGCTCCCGTCTCTGGTTCCAGCTCCTGCCAACCTAGCAGTTCGAAAGCAAGAAATTGCAAGTAGATAAATAGGTACCACTTCGGTGGGAAGGTAACAGCATTCCGTGCGCCTTGGTGTTTAGTCATGCCGGCCACATGACCATGGAAACGTCTTCGGACAGCGCTGGCTCTTCGGCTTTGAAACGGAGATGAGCACCACAACCCTAGAGTCGGATTCGACTGGCTTTCGAGCAAGGGAACCTTTACCTTTA